GGGGGAATATCGAAAAATCCCTTCTTAGTGTACATTCTGTTGACGTACCCTATTAAAATGCAATCAAAAATGCAAAAAACCGCATCTAAAATAGTATAAATAGAAGCAGAGTTCTTTACGGTAAGCCTTCCCCGTAAGGCTTACCGTAAAGAACTGTCCATCCCCCATGTTTAACGGAATAATATACAGCCTATGTCCACCCTGACGTTCCATTCTAAATATTGGTGAAAAAATTTTTGAAATTGGATGAGTAGTTTTGGAGATTACCTGCTGCATCCAAACTTACATACATACAAACATTACCTCTTTATTATATTAGTATAGATATAGATATAGATTTCATTCGTTATTTTATTTTATTTGTATTTAAATTTATGTTCTATTTTGTTTATATTCGAATATCTTAGCCTGATGATGACCAACAGATTTGGCTGAAGACGTTTGCTTTTTCATTAAATTTTCTCAGAAAATTAAGGTGTTTTGTTTTTTTTAATTTACTTATGCTGAGTGAGGGTACTTCAATAGCTAGTAATTATTCTAAAATAGCACCCTAATGTAGCAGCAAAAAATTCAGTGATATCAAATTCTTCTGCAGCACTTTGAAAAGAGATGATAAGGAATAGGTTTCAAGAATTAGTTATTCGAGAAAAGAACAAGCATGTGATATACTGCAAAATCATTTTCATATCTTCAATGCAGATAAGACAGAGATGTTATTTTGTCCAAATACTGGCAAACTTGTAGGACCTAAAGCATACAAGAACTTTTTATGACATTACGTCAGGACAAGAAAAACAGTGTGTCACAGTTTTATGTAATTTCTCAGGAAGTGGCCAGTCAGTGGCTCCTATGATAGTGTTTCCATACAAGAGAATTCCAAGAGATATTGCACATTCAGTTCCAAATGACTTTTCTGTAGGCAGAAGTGATTCAGGATGGATGATAAATGCCACATTTTATGAATTTATGTTTCAAATGTTTTTTAAGCCTGGCTTCTGGATGAGAATATCAGAAAACACAAACAACAATCATCAAAATTAGTTTACAAAACTAACTTTGCAGTTGAAAAGAATTCAACACGGGTTTGAAACATGAGGTTTGTTTTCTTTTGATCTAAATAGAATGGATTATTTAAAAAGTATTTATACTAGACGTAAGGAATTGTTTCCTGTAAATTAACACGATTGTTCAATTAATTATGAAGAACCACATAAATGTGCACTGCAAATGATAAAAAATAATATTACACTTAATTTGTTATCAGATTTCAAGGAAGCCATTGAATTTGATAACAACAAGATAAATTTAGAAAATTATTATTGCAATAATGTCTATGTATGGAAGACACTTTTGTATAGATTATAAAACTGATCATTTGTATATAATATTGTATATACGATATTTTTAAATTAAAGCTGTTTTTTAAAATCTAATATTTTTATTATAATGTTTTAATCTGAAATTACATGACCGAAGTAAATAAAATTGGCAACGTATATATGGTATACAATGGTAGAAAATTGCGTATAGTACCCTAAAACTCTAATAATTCATTATTAGTCACTTTCAGTCATCCACTAGCCCTTACCTAGTTAATTACTAAAGCCATATGGTCAATTACTAGTGATTTTTAAATGTTAAAAACATTATCTGACTAATTTAATCAATATTTACAGAAAAATAAACATTCACTTTTTGAATGAGTACTGCGAACCTTCGGTAACCAGCAATGACCACTACTTATGTTATATGTTTGTTTGTTAATAGATTACATTCAAATTTTCTTGGAAAGGTGCTTAGTTGGTCATTGAATGGTGCAAATATCCTAATTCGAACTCTTCTNCTTTTTGAATGAGTACTGCGAACCTTCGGTAACCAGCAATGACCACTACTTATGTTATATGTTTGTTTGTTAATAGATTACATTCAAATTTTCTTGGAAAGGTGCTTAGTTGGTCATTGAATGGTGCAAATATCCTAATTCGAACTCTTCTTCATCATTCTAATTTTCTTAATAAATCGTTTTCACCATTTAAATTATTTATAATTTATAGATGTAAAAGTAGTACAGTAGAACCTCGAAAACTCGGCCTAATGTGGACCGAAGGGTGGCCGAGTTTGTGAAAATGCCGGGTTATCGGGAATGGGGTTAAAAAAAATAAGTATGAGTGTTTCCTCAGAAAATACTGTACTGTACTTGTATGTATTGTTTACTTGAG